AAGGATTATATGTTGCTTATGTCACTGACAGCAGAGGGGTCAGATGAGGAATCCTAAGATTTTGAAGAGGCCAACCATTTTTAGAATTTGACACAGTTGCTTTTGATGCTCCTTTCCAAAGAAAGTTTTGTATCAGTAATTTAAATGAGTTACCAAAATTCTGAGGGCTGTCACCACATTCAATGGAACTATTTCACAATAAATTTTAGGACTGGACAAAACTTTCAAATCGAATTGAATCGAATCCGACGGCTCTTCTCAAATTAAATACTCGAACGGGTATTTGAATCAAGAACCGATGGGTACGGTTCGATTCTGATTCTAAACCAAGGCCCGAAGAATCGAATAAAAACCGAATCTCCTTAATTTTTTTTAATTTATTTATTTTAAATAAGTAAAATTATTTTATTTTTTCTAAATAAATTTGTTAACTAGTTAATTTAGTTCAAACCACAAAATATGATTTTTCTATTTCTAATTTTCATTTCAAAATCAATTTAATCAAATTGACCTCAATTTTATCCAAATCTGTTACTCTACTGTAGTGTCGTTTCTACTTAAAAAAATCGAATTAAAGTTTTACAACATTTCTCTTAATTATTTTGAGTTCGCTGTCTTTTTCTTTCTGTGATTTTAATAATCAAATTTATTAAGAATTTAGCAAAAAGAGACGTAAAAGATACATAGGATTGGACTACGTTATTTTGTAAGAGCTAATATTAAACATATCATTAATTAAATTAATGTAATTTTGTATATATTAAAAAATTTAATTATAATACGGAACCGAACCGGACCGAATCAAACCAAACCCGAACGGTTCCATAATTAAATTTGGTCCCGACGGTTCCACTTGCTAAATACGCGAAAATTTCGGGTCGGTTCGATTCTACCGAACCATGTCCAGCCCCAGTAAATTCTGTTTTGTGTTTCTAAAGTTTTGTTTCTTTCTTGAAATTTATTGTGAATCGAAATGTTTTCCTCCGAGATAGAATATTTAAAATCATCGTCCCACACTAAATTTCTTGATTTCTAGCCTTTTTTTTTTTTTTTTTTTCAATCATACATGGTGTTAACTGTTACTTTAGTGTAACATAATCATTGTCACTTCGAGAATCATTTCCGAGGACAAAATCTTCGGTTCTAAAAAGCGAACGAGAGGTTAAAATTGGCAATGCATAGAGCTTCATTTTCAGCATAGAAAAAAACCCGTTGCATTTTACAATGGGCAATCCTAAAATTACATTTTAATAGTCTCGATTCAATGGGCAATCCTTAAATTACATTTTACAAACATTTAGAGCGTGTTTGATTTACATGAAAAATATCACCTAAAAAAGAAAATATTTTCCATCTTTTGTGGAAAATAAAAACCACCTCTACCCAAAGAAAATATTTTCCTTAAAAATAAGGAAAATTAGGTATATTTTTAAAAGTTGGAAAATGTTTCCATGGAAAAAAATAGCAATCAAACACTTCAAGGGGGAATTTGGGTGGAAAATTGATATTTTCCATAGAAAATAAATGTAATCAAACACACCCTTAATGAATGTGATTCCAATTGTAGTAATCTTATACCGTCCAGTTTATTAAAGACTTCATAAAATTCCACTTCTAGAGTATGTTAAGTAATCGAACAAGATTAAGCCCCCATTTAGTAGCAGTTTTTCATCCAAAAAAATCAATTTTTTTAACGTTATTTCACTATTTCAGACATCATTTTTTACTGTTTTTTCTTTTACAGGTAAGACCCACTTTTCTCGATCAAGAAATCAATTCTCATAATCATTATCGAATAGACCCTAAACATAGAAGCAAGGAGATAAATAAATACTATCACTTACAAATCCTCTAAAAAAAATAATAATAAAAAACTATTACAATGATGAACATTATTCAAATTCTAAAATAACATAAACACTCAAATTAATTTAACTAAAGTGTTACATAGCAAGAATCTTCGATCCATCCAAACAAAGATATATTTTCGACCACGAGTTAAATCCATCGTTTTAAAGGTCTAATCATCTGACGTTACTGTCCAGATGTAAACTACAGATCCTAAATCACAAACAGCATAAAAGTTAAGGACCATTTGTGCAAATTGTTCGCTCTTGAGCAACGTGAATTCATCACCGGACGTCCATAGAAACTCTAAAATCCAGCGTGGACAGGAGCGTGAAGTAACATTTATCTTTCTGACGCGTGAGGAGTAGCTCCAAACCGGCGTACATAGAAAATTCAAATTTAAATGCATTTCCCAATATGAGAAGAAAGGTATCCAATGTTTCACTGTAGCGGCTGGCTCGTCCAAAAAGTCGGCTATAAATCTTATCGCGAGATAGTGACGATACTTTGCCAGGATATGACGCAACTTGATAGTCAATGGCCCAATGCACCGTTTTGCTTAAATTCGGAAAACGTTTGGTGGAGATTAAAATTAGATTTTTTAGTAGATTATGATAGAAGGTTTTGTAATACGTGGTTGAAAATTTGTGAAAACCACGAAAGATATGATTAATATTAATTGTTTGACTTTAATTTAAATTAAAATTAGATTTTAATTCAAACCAAACATGCACTCGAATTTATTTTCATAGTCTGGTAATTAGTGATTTCAAATATTTCAAAGGAAAATTTCTTTTCGATTATGGTCATTGCTTTTGCTTGATCCATGTAAAATCATAGTGCATATTGTTGCAAGCTAGAAATCCTAAAACATAATTTGTAAGGTGAATTATGTAAATAATTTAATGTGTTGTCATTAAATGAAAATAACAAATAATCGTAATCAAAACTATGGGTGGGCAAAATAATCCCGAATTAAACTAGAATCATTCCTTATAGTTAGAAGTTAGAACCAAGAATAAAGAACTAAAGATTTGGTAAAACATTTTTTAATTAATTATGTTTATTTTTTTAATTTCGTTAATGATTTTTATTACACAATATTTTGTATGAAGGTGAAAGTTGCCGTTAGCATCACGTGAGGATTATTGGTTTGATTTTGGATCTGAGTATCTTTTGATGACAGTTATTTATATAGTTCTTGTTTGAGTCACGTTATTTTCATAAAAATGCATTATTGAATAGTGTAATAATCGGAAACATGTGGTTAAAAAAACATGTTTTAGATTTATGTGTAACATTATTTTATTGAAAAATATATGGTTAAAATGATGTCAAATCACTATTTAAATCTAGGTATAATAGGGTATTTTAATGTTATTTTAACACATACCTTGAAAAAATTATAGAAACTTTATACGTGTTTTTCAAGTTTTCACCTAAAAAATAAATTTACAAAATTATAAATACCCAAATCAATAATGCTTGATTCGTGGATGGAGAGAGCTATGTTTGTCGGCTGAGTTTGAGTTATAATAGTTATTTTTCTACTGGATTTATTTAACATTTTGTTGGATTGAACTTCAAAACGAGAAATACGTCAATATAAAATTAACCATCTTTTTCTCCATCTAGGCATAGGTGGGAAGTTTTTTTTTCATGGCTTTCGCATTTTAGAAGAGTGACTTTAAATATTTATTTTATAATTAGGCTATATTGAAATCCTTAATTTATTGTTCATGCATCACAAATAATGTTATTCATAACTATCCAGTGATGTGAAGTCAAAATTCATTGAAGTGCATCACAAATTTATCAAACAATGAGTGAGAGGGTCAACGACACTAATTATCACCAGTAAGGAATGACATTAAATTTTAAACAAAAAAGAAAAGTCAAACTCTGGGTAGGTTTGATTAATTTACGTATTTTGTAAAGATCAATGCTATGTAATCCAACTGAAATTGCAATCACAGTCTATGTGACACTACATCATTGGTTAAATGAAAGGTGAGATTAAATAAGTCATTTAATTTTATCTATCAATTAATGTCACATTAGTGCGGATTGTAACTCGGGCTAAATAGCATTATTCTTTTGAAAATTCATGACTTGTCATTCATTTATTATACACACATTTAATACGATCCACTATTTATAAACATTGTAAAGCAATACCAAATAAGTTTGTGCATGTTTGGAAAAGCTTAAAAAGATCATTTATTAATTTACTGACAAATAAAATCCAAATATATCATTTTTCATCGATTAAAATTGATTATAAAGAAGTTACTCAATGGTAAATAGGTAAAAAAAGATTTTTAATTACACAATTTTTCTTACTTGAAGGAAAAGAAAATAATTTATGCAGACACACAACACAAAAAGTCAATTGTATAAGAATTGGATTAGAATTGCCGGTTCATAGGAAAAATCGTATTCTTAGCCTGAAATCTGGTTTGATTTTAGGTGAAAAAATTATAAGTTCAAAATCGTTACCAAAAAATTGATCGATTCATTAATATTGCTCGAATTTACTTATTAATTAATATAATTTTCTTGAACGAGTGTCAAGTTTTGACCATTGACCCTTCAACTTTTTGGGGTCAATTGTGCCGTTTGTTTTTCAAATATTATTTAAAACAAACTTTTAATTATGTTTAAGCTTAGCCAAACATGCTCTAAAGAGATGGTAAATTCAAGTTTCTATCCCATGAAATAGTGAGATACTAATACAAATAGAATGAATACGTCACCCTACCCCTCGCTTGTACAAAAACCAGGTTCTTGCACACGAACGGGTTCGTACCGGTTCTCACCCCAGCGCGCTCTCTCTCTCTCTCTCTTTCTCCCCGTTCTAGCCAACAACTTCAAAACCACCTCTCATTTTCCGAACCAACAAACGGAAGAAGTAATCACGCACGCGCACGAAGAACTCAAAGTTATCTATTTCTCTCTACGTGTTCATTTTGTTCAAATGATTTCTTAATGAAAGATATACATATGGTGAACAGCGTGAGAGAGAGGCAGAAAAAGGGTGAGCGAAAGATGGGCAAGTGCATGAGGAAATCGAAGGGAATCGGTGAGGTAGAGTTGGAGGTGAACCACGCCAACGCCGCTGCCCAATCCTCACTCGGTGTTCGTACAAGAGCCAAAACCCTAGCCCTTCAGAAATCATCGGGTGCGGCGATTAGTGGTGATGATGGGTCATATTTGCAGCTGAGGAGCAGGCGACTGGTGAAGCCCGTACCCCCAATTGTCACAGAGGGTAAAAGACGGAAACACCTTCAGCCAAAATCAGGCAAGGGTAAAGTGGTTCCCCGAAATTCTGAGGAGGAAAAGGAGGAGGAAATTGATGGGGTGGAGGGAAAATTGGGGATGGAGGAAAATAATCAGAAGGATGAGAAAAATGGTGATGGTGGAGAAATGGAGGCTTCATTTGGAGAGAACATGCTGGAATATGATGATAAAGAAAGGTGGTTTTTTTCCTTTATATTTTCATTTAATTTTCTGTTTTGCATGTTTAAAGATTCAATCTTTTTGGTGAATTTGTTCATTACAATTAGGGAAATTTGGGGTGTTTTCTTGGTGAATTTAAAAGAAAATTGGGTATTTTGGTACGTTAACATGTTTAATTTTTTTGATTAAATTGTTTTTATTTTTGTTGCCTACTGCACTGGTGCCTCTTGATTTTTGAACTGTATTGTTTTGTGATTTTTCACTTTTTCTGGATTTTCATCTTATTGCACGTTTCAAATTCTTGTGTGTGTGTGTGTTGTGTTTTTCCGTTGAGAAAAAATAGATTTTATGAGCTTTTTAATCTTCTTCTTCCAGGAAAAAGAGGGGTGGGGGGGGGTGATTTTGTTTTGTTGGACTAGTTGGTTTAAGTTTTATTTACAATTTAATTGCTGGAAAAAATTTTGGGAGTAAAGGATTAGGATATTTAAGTGTTCATGAGCACTAGAATTCTTTTGTGTGTGCGTGTTCGGGCCAACTTACGCGCACCCCGACCAATCCCACGGAGTCTTGAAATTTGCAGTCGGATACTTTCCTTAATGGTCCAAAAGGACTCGAACTGGTGACCATTTGGAGCAAACCCAACACCTAACCACTGAGTTACCCTTAGGGTTCATGAACTCTAGAAATTTGAAATGTCTTGTCTATTGATCCTGCTTGTTTACAATGTCCGGGCGTGAAGATGGTGATAATTTCACTGTCATTGACTGCACATTTTCTGTTCAAGCCCTGTTGGTAGATTTTGCTACTTATGGATAAGTAATTATTACCATAAAGTTCTTACCTAATATGTCTTGATTTCGAGTTTTGCTGGTGTACAGTTGTCCGAGAGGAAATTTTTTGCATTATTAAGCACTCTCGAGTTTGATTCTATTTTCAGTTACGTTTCAAGCTACCATTTTAAATCCTGCATAATCCGTCAATCGCATATTTATCTTTTATTTCAGTTAGAACTAAGCACTATATTATTTAAGTTAGTTCCTCCAATTTAACCTACCATAATCATTTTATTCTAATATTTTGTCACGATCCGATTCTCAAAATCTGCAGTGTTATTTTGTACCACATGAACAACTAGATATTAAGTTTGTCACAAAGCCATTGACTAGCATTGTGTGCCTTGTTGATTTTATTTGAGGAAAGTGTCCTCCCTTTTTCAGTTGTTTGTCAATTATGGTAACAAAATGCATTCGGGATATTAGTCTGTCCAATTTAGAATAAAAGGTTCATTTTGCCGTTGTCTTCAATTAAATTTTTAGCCATTTTGTCGTTGCTTGAGTTAAATTCTTTCTTTAATATCTTCCTTTGCTCTGTTTTGGTGTTCAATTTTGATTCGCAGTATAGTATTTAGGAACATAATCATATCCAAATGTTTTAAGAGCTTGAATAGGTGTCTATTCAGAACCTGCTTCTCTCCCATCTGACGTGAAGATCTGCTGCAAAACAACTTTTTTTGGTGCTTTCTTTATCGGTTGCATTTTGTGTACCGTAATACATAAATTACTCATAAATGGTTGCTTCATAGAGGTTTCACTGAATAGTAATGTTATCTGCAGTAGCCTTGCACCTTGATCTTAAATTATTATGCGTGAAACATGACAGCGAAACTAAGGTTTGTTCCCCTGTAATATATAGTGCTGATGTGTTTAAACTACAGGACCACTAGGGAGAGTACCCCGTGCAATTTGATCAGGGATCCAAACTCAATCCAGACTCCTGGTTCAAGTAATCGGCCTACCACGCCTAATGCGGCCAGTAGCAGGGCACAAAATCCAATGCTAAGGCACATCCCAACTGCAGGTGAAATGGACGAGTTTTTTGCCGGTGAAGAAAAGCAGCAGCAAACACAATTTATCCAGAAGTATAAATTTACACTTCAGGCATATCTCCCGTTTATTTACTTGTGATATATCAGCTCACTTATGTATTGATGTCCTCCGTGGATTTTTCTGCAGGTACAACTTTGATCCTGTGAATGACAAACCTCTTCCTGGACGATATGAGTGGGTGAAACTTAAACCATAGACGAGCAATAGCATTCCATTGGGACTAATGCATCTTGATTATACTAGGAAAGGTGTAGAAATCATAGGTACTTTCAGTTTTGCATGGTGATGGTGATGTTCATATTTTCCATCACCATTACTTGTAAAAACATTAGGCAGCAAGTGTAGACAGTAGACTAATGATCTGTAACATAACAGAGCTTGTGACTTACCTATACAACAAGATCCTTTGTCTAACAGATCATGAAAGATTGAAGGGGAAAGAACTGGGTCGTAGTGGTAGTATTTATGGAGTTAGGCTTAGTTGCAGTGGTATAGAAGTTAACTTGAATGTTGTTCCCCATGACTTCCGCTGGTTTACCATCTGTATATTTATACTGATGGAAGTTTTTAGAACTCTGAATAAATCGACACCATTTATCCTTCTTCATAATATTTTTGCCTTTTCATTGTTATCTTGTGAAGCATGTGTATGTATTTATTATTCGTCCTCTTTCTCTACATTAAATACATGCACCTTTCATTGTTTCTACCAGCTTATTTGGTAGAGAGGATTGTATATCACTAAATAGTATTAAAAAACAAGAAGAAATTGAAATATTGTTCGTTGTACTTTCCAGTAGGGTCTAATATTTTGCTTGCCAAATTTCACGTGACCCACCACTTTTTGGCCTGTTCTTGTGAGAATTTGTGGTGCAAGTACTGCTGGTATTGGGCTTGGTCTGTTGGTGGGTATTTGTTGGAAAATCTTGTCATCTTTGTAATAGTGTGCTTTGTTATTTTCTGCAACTATGGGTTGTGTGTTCAAATTCAATAAGAAGGGAAAACAATTACTTGGAAGAGTGATTTGCCCTACGGGTTTTTCTCGGACATGATTGGTACTCAGCAGGACTTGACAATAAAATAGACGAGATTATATTTTTTTGGAACTGTTGAATTTAACATCTGCCAGGGCTAGACTGTGCTTAATTTTTTATTATATGGGCTGTGAATTTAGTGCTGTGTTATCTTGTTTCTCATGCTGGCTGCATTTTACCTACCAAATTGCTGGTGGAAAGTAAAATAATGGTGGTAGTTATAATGGTAATGGCATTTGATGAAACCAAGGAAATGTTCAAATTAATAAATCAAATCTTGAAAATGAGTGATTACTAGATTTCTCAAGTCGACATTTATTTGATTAGCCTTTTTAACCAATGAACATTCATTGAGAATATGTTCCTTTGGATGGATGATCAGCTTGGCGTTTAATAATTTAACCAAATTTTGTTGCCACTCACAAGCATTTGGTACAGTTGTGATCTCAACTTACAAGTGCATTGCATGTGGTTTAAGACATGTTTGGCAAGACTTTTGAAAAGTCAAAAGCTGTTTCTGAAATAAAGAAGTTGTTTGTTTGTTTGGATAATTTTTTGGAATTGCTTTGTCCGACTAAATGAGCTTTTATAGAAAGTTGATCAGCTTCATTTTTTATTTTTTTTAAGAAACTCTTTAAAAGAATTAGGAGCAAAAGCAGCCCTTAATCATTTTAGAGCATACCCTATTATGCTCAACTGGATAAAATTTGAAAAGATAATCGGAATCTTTTTCACCGGTCGAATTCTGAAATATGGATTTGGCTCTTGGGTAAGTGCAAGTGTACAAGCAGTCTTCCACCCTGTACCCTTGGAGGCATAACTTGCTATTTACCTCCCTCACGATGCTCCAGGGCAGGAGCGGTAGGGGCCCTTAAGGTTAGGGTTCAACCTTTTTTAGTTGTATGAAAATGGGGAGTCGACTGAAGCTGAATCAGCCTGCTCGTGAAAAATATAATGCATATTTACCAACTTCATCTGCAGGACTTAGGTTTTGGAGTCACCTGGGTGTGGTGGGGGTTGTTGAAGAGTAAATCAGGGAGACAGCCAGATGAGGTCTTGCCATTTTTTATATGGGTTTTCGAAATCTAAGGATCTGTTCTCTTCGTGTTTTAATTTTGTAGTTTTGAGTTTTGAATTCATTTTGAGTTTTGTATTTTGAGTTCATGTTTTGAAATTGTTGAAAATATGTTCTCTTTGTCATTTCGAGAAACTGTTTTTCAAAACATAAAATTGAAAAACGCGTTTACTTTGAAATTTTGAGAATTTTTTTAATAATATTTTATTTAAGAAATATGATTATTCAATACAATTTAATAGTTTGACGTAAATGTAGTAATAAATAATATATAAATTTTGAAATTGGTGAATCTTAAAATATTTTTTGACAACACAGTCCACTAAATACTATTATAAGTTTACGTCTCATGGC